AGTCTTTGCAATTACTTGTTATGCTTCAGAGAGTTGGACAATGACTAAGGATGACAAAAAAAGAATCCATGCCTTCGAATTGTGTTGCTGGAAAAGAGTCTTGAACATACCATGGACTGCCAAGAAAGCAAATAAATAGGTCTGCCTTGGAGAGGGTGAAACCAAGCTTCTCCTTGGAAGATAGGATTTTGAAGCTCCGTCTCACATACTTTGGTCACGTGGCCAAGAGGGACAGAACCTTGAAGAAGGACGTCATGCTTAGAAGGGTGGAGGGACAGAGCAAGAGAGGAAGTCCCTGGATGAGATGGATTGATCCAGACTGGGGCAATAGGGATTGGTGTGTCAGGATTAGTAAGACTGGTGGATTAGTGAGACAGGTCAGGGTTCAGAGCTACTGTACTAGGGTCACTATGGGTTGCAGTCAACTTGACGGCACGTAACAGCAACAATGTTCTATATCCTACTTTGATGAGTAGCAACTGGAGTCTTAAAAACTGATAAGCAGCCATCTAAAGAACAACTACTAGATTCTCTCTCTCTCATTGGATGAAACAAAGAAGAGGGTAGAAGCAAAGATGTATAGAAGCAAGTACTACAAAAGCACTAACGGATCAAGTAAACCTCAATCTCTATAATCCCGAGACAAGAAGACATAATATATGGCTACCATGACTGATCCATTTTGGACCCCACCAACCTCTGCATAGGAATTGGATTGACTATGTTTGTGGGAGGAAAAGCTCAATATCAGCAGTCAAAACAAGGCCAGGTGCTGACTGTGGGACATATCATAATTATTCCTGTGCAAGTTCAAGTTGAGGCTGCAGAAAATGCAAATAAGCCCATGAGAACCAAAATATAATCTTGAGTCTATCACACCTGAATTTAAAAAAAAAAAGTCTTGAGAATGTTCTGAAGCATTGAACACCAGTGATTGAAGACTGGATGAGTTGTGTGATGACATGAGAAGGATGTCACCCATAAAGAGAGCAAAAGGTCACTACAAAGACAAAAGAGATGGAGCTCTGGTGGTCTCATGGCAAGAAGCTGAGCTGCAATTCTGAAGGTGTGAGGTTCAAATCCACCAGAGGCTCCATGCTGGAGAAGGAGGGGCAATCTCCTCCTGTGCCAGTCAGATGTTATTCGACAGTATACAATAAGGAAAAAAATAAATAAAGGAAATCAGTAAAAAGAAAAAGAAAGAAAAAAAGACGAGAAAGAAAAAACACAAATGGATGTCAGAAAAGACCCTGAAAAATATACTAGAGCATCAAGAAGCCAAAACAAACATAAGAGATGCTGATGTAAAAGAGTTGAACAGAAGATTTCAAAGGGCTCCTTGAGAAGACAAAAGTATTATAATGGAAAAGTATTATAATGGAAGGCAAAGTATTAAGAACCGGAATTGGGAAATGAAAAGGGAAGAACTCACTCAGCATGCATTAAGCTGAAAGAACTGAAAAATAAATTCAAGCCATGAGTTGCAATATATAGAGATGCTATGGGCAAATCTTGTATGATCCAGGAAGCATCAAAAGAAGATGGAGGAAATGCACAGAATCACTGGGCTAAAAAGAATTGCTTCACACTGAAATATTTCAGGAAATATTCCATATGAACAAGAGCCAATGGTAATGAAGAAAAATTCAAGCTACACTTAAATCACTGACAAAAAAATAAAACCCCGGCATACAAATTGACATGTTTCAAATGACAGATAACATCCTGGGCGTGCTCAATCATGTATGCCAGAAAATTTGGAAGACAGCTGCCTGGCTGCCTAAAGTGAAGAGATCCACATTTATTCCCATTCCCGAGAAAGGTGATCCAACAGAATGTGGAATTTATCTAGCAATATCATTACTATCACAGGCAAGTGAAGTACCACTGAAGAGCATTCAAAAATGGCTAGAGTAGTATATAGACAGCAAACTGCCAGAAGTTCAAGCTGGATTTAGAAGAGGCCCTGGCACCAAGGATATAGTTGCTGGTGTCAAATGGATCCTGGCTGAAAGCAAAGAATTCCTAAAGAATGTCTGTTTGTGCTTTGTTAACTATACAAAGGCTTTTGGCTGTGTATTCATCTCAAATTATGGCTAACATTGAGACAAATGGGCATCCCAGGACAGTTAATTGTGCTCATGTGAAAACTTTACCTAGACCAAGAGGCTGTAGTGTGAACAGAGCAAGAAAACACTACATAGTTTAGAATTACAAAAGGTGTGCATCAGGATTGTATCCTTTTTCCATACCTATTCTATTAGTATGCTGAGTATATTATTTCAGAAGTCGGACTCTATGAAGAAGCATAGGACATCAGGATCAGAGAAAGGTTTATCAATCACCTTTGTTATGTGGATGATGTGACCTTTCTTGTGGAAAGCACTTGAAACACTTGCTGCAGAAGGTTAATCATTATAGCCTTCAATATGAAATAAGGTATGCCTGATTCAGGCCATCATCTTTTCAATAACTTCTTTGAGTCTGAAAGTTGAACAATGAATAAGGATGGCAGAAGGAGAAAAGTTGATGTCTTTTATGGTATTGAAGAAGATATATCTTGGAAAAAAGTGCATCCAGAATGCTTCATAGAAGATAACAAAGCTTCATCTCCTAAAATTACTATTTGGAGTCATTCTCACATACATTATTTATCCAAAGGCTTCTCACCTACCCTGCCAATTACTAGAGGTACAGAAATGTTTTTAAAGCATATCTAACTTGGATTTATGTGGTCTAAGCAAGTGTATTTTTATAGTAGAAGAAAAGACTTTATTGTTTCATTAATGAAAAGCTTCTTAAGACAGTTTTTTTAAAAAAAAAACAAAATCAGCAAACTATTTTTGTCAGAATAATTTACAGTCTACAAATTTTATGAAATTTTTAATGGATTTTTGCCTACAATGGTTAAGAGTACTTAAGGGGGGGGGAGAGTATTTAAGGGCCTCAACATGCCCAAACATGTAAAATGGGAATAATTTTTCACTTGTCAACCTCACACAGGAACAGAGAGTATCTAAGCTGTGAGATAGGTCTATATTAAGGGTACGGTATAGTTTAAATGCAAGCCCAATGTATGTGAAAACTGAGCCATCAATGCCTGTCTGTGGATCTGGAATGATCTAAACTAAAACTCATCCAGCCGGATTCTGTATCTCCAGTACCTGTTAGTCTGTTGCATCTGCCAATCCTTTGTCATCACTAAGGACCTGGAAACATACAGTAATTCTTTGAGGTATTGTTTTACCACGAAACATGCACCAGATTCACATTTGCTCAGAAACTGCGGATCTTTAATGTATTTCTAGCACCTGGGAAACCCAGTCGCTCTTGGCCTAAAATTTACTTCTTCCCCTTTCCTCCCTATCCTCCATATCTTCCATCTCTTTTTTCACATTCAGTATAATCCAATAGCTTGACTAAATTAGATGGATATAAGTTTCTTAGAAGTAAATTTTGATAAATATTATTTATCTTTCTCCATTTTGGATGAA